CCAAAAAAAAAACGTGCTAAAGTTTTTCATTTATTTTTTTTCTTATTCCTTTGTCCTCAATTAGTACATGTATCAAGACACTCACTTTAAGCCCAAGTGTCAAAAAAATACCCCCTCCCCCTCCCCTCGGTTGCCCACACTGGTTACGTCCCGAAAAACACCTCGACCAATGCCACCAGTGTGAATGATTTTTGTTGAACTTGACAACCGATGGTCCGCGACACATGCGCTAGGCCTACTCACATGTAGGATGTCATGTGACGTGATGTTAACACGAGCGTTTGAATGTTTCACTGACAGGTCTTGATGATGGGCCCTAGTAACCAACCAGAACTTGGACAAAACTTTCTTTTAAAGCTATGGAAGAACAACTAATAGATTATTTTTAGGCCTATGTCATAATTGTTGCAGTAATCAGGCCATCATTGGAGAATTCTGGGTAACAAAAGCGAAAGAAGTCAAGGTCATGAAGGGAGCGAAGCATTTACCATGCACCTAGCTCAAGGGGCCCCTGAAACTAAGAACCCGGTTACCGTGTACGTAGATACTGAGACTACGTGCCCGGTTACCGTGAACGTAGACACTCCGTTGTAAAATAATGTACTCCATATTTTAGGCTTTGAAGTTTAAGTCAGAGAAAAGTTGCTTTGCACTTCTTTATTAACTCTCAATGCGCAAGGGATTCCACAATTTTACATACCCAATTTGAGTCGACGAAGGGTGATACCTTAAAACGGCTGTAATTCAGTCAAATACTGATGGATTTGTTTGCATGAGCACTGAAACTATTTGAAATTGGACCGAGGTTCACAATATGGGTGAAAGTAGGTAGTAAATGTAGCACAGGATCAGGTGTAGATCATGGAGTGTGCAAAATTGGTACCCCTAAACGCCACGTAAATGGTAATCCACTAAAGCAGAAAACCAAAGCTGCCACTTAAGTGGTGATCCAGAACTGAAGAGTGAAGAAATGTTGCTTCAATTTGTCTATAGTATAGTTTTATCATCATTGTCATTGTCATGATGATTGTTGAAAAAGCCGTGATTTTATAGTCTTTATCATTGTCTTCCTTATTGTCTTAGAAATGTCTGTGACAATGATCATCATCACCTTCGCCTACTACATCATCTTATTTTGTAAAGCAGAATAGAAATCGGGGCCTGGGTCAGTTCTTCTCATTTTGAAATATTATTTTCTCAGTTGTTTTGTAATCGAAAGATTGTGCATGTCATTTGAACGTGAATTGTTTCCTCAGCTGAGTCTTGCACAGTTCATTTAAAGCTTGCGACTACCATCCATGAGCCTATTGCTGTAGGGGACCACGATGTGCCCATCCTCACTGTGCCCAAGGACGTAGTTATGAGACACCAGTGGGACCTCACCACCCAGCAGGTCAGATTGAAATAGCGTCTCCATTTTTAAAGTTTTGGACAAAGTACAAGATGGTTCAAAGAACCGATTTTATGAGGCATTGCTTCAGTTCTCAAGCATCCTTATGGAATGAATCAGGGACCATTTGAATGAGGAGTTATCTAATGTTTTAATCAAAAAGAGAGAACCAATTGGTATTGGTCACATTGAATACTTGTAAAACAGGAAATAAAAGTTGATTGTGAGTACAGTACGTGTGACTTAGCTTGAGTTTTCTATTGCATTATGAAATTGTTTCATTCTTTTTTAATCACCCAGTATATATTAGTGTGCATGGGGTTGGAGGGTTTTATTACTGTACTGTCCATATGGTCTTCCTGTTTGTCTTTTTCCCCAGCACTGAATGGATATGAAGAGAAGAGGGTATCAAAAGAATTAACAACGCTGTGATGGGTTTTTTTTTTCTTATTTACATTAAATTTATTGCTGGATGGTTAGGTTCTTTGCTGTTTCATGCTGGAGGCATTAGTTCGATCCCCGATTGATGGAATTAATGTTTTAAAAATCTTCTGTTTGCATGGATACCGTATCCTTGTCAGTCTGGTTTAGCTCTCATAGGTAGGGTCAGAGCAGCCCACCTTCTTCTTGACCTATGTTGTGTCGATGGGGACGTTAAAAAGAATTATCGTTAATCACATTTTAACAGCATACTAGGTTTATACAAATTAACATCTCTGACAAGTTCAATCACTACCACCTTCATAAATTAACACTTTGCTGTCACACAGCCCGCAAGCAGTACAAAATACCCCATCTGGTCACCCAGCCAGGAGAGTGACTGCAACTTACTTCTCGGGCCTGTCGCAGAACTACGTTAAGTGACCGAAATAGATTATTTTCTCTGTTGCATTATTGCAGCAAGTAACCGCAAAGTGTCAAAGTCATCTTTGGTCTCAGCTGGTTGACTACAGTTTTAACAAATCATTATAACTACGGCTAATGTGTTACACTATTTTGTATGAAGTACCTAACACTATCATGTGCACTTTTTTGTCCTAATCATATGGCGTCAATTTGATAAAAATGGGCAAGGGAAAAAATAAAAATCCAAAATATCTCTAACAAGTGTTGCTTGCAGGGTAATATGTTATCTTTTCTGATTTACATTCTACTTTATATCCAGGGGCTTTGCCGTTGCACACAGAAGAAATAAGATTTGATTTGAATTCCCTTATAAAATATTTATATGAGGAAGTTTTTTTATCAAGTGTATCTGTCTGCAGGAGATATATCACCCTCAGCCCCAATTGCTCCTGATGCACAGAATTAAAGCAGCTCATCTCCTAATTTGATGTAATTTGTGTAGATTAAGGCATAAACATCTACGAATTCCTTCTTTCTTTCCCTCTTTGTTCATCTGTTCCCTGACCTTTGAGGCTGGTGCTCCTTTTTGAAAGTGGCCCATCTATGCCTAGTGTGCTGTGTGGCATTGAAATAGACTAGGGAAATAATTGGAGGAAGTGAAAACCTTTAATCTTTTAGGGATGATTGACCAAAATAAGGGCATAATTGCCTTCAGGTCTTGTAAAACAGAGAAAAAAAAAAAGGCAAAGAATTCTGGAATTTTGCTCTATCATGATGTTTCTGTTTTCTCCAGATGCTGCATTACATTGATGGAATGTCTCATGTCATGAAAATTGCTGCTGAGGCGGATGTGGAGTTGAACCTAGTCAAAGCTAATCTTCAGAATCTGCTGTGAGGATGAGTATACACTATCGTGGTGAAATCCGGCGCTCGTCAAAATAACAAAATTGAAGATGACAGCATTTTTCCGGCATTTAAGCAATTTTCACATAATTTTTTTTTACGTGCAATCCCTTTTATGTCCTCATTTATATCTGTGTGGCTTTTACTGGAAAAAGTTGATTAAAATCACAAAAAATGTAAATTTGCTATTACCAAGGACTTTTAACCTATGGAAATCATCAAAATTTAGCAGCCATTTTCTCGCTAATTTTACCTCTGAAATGAGACGAATCTCACCTCTTTCAACAACAAACATCTCAACTTTTTATGAGTATATTAAAAATTCAAAGCAAGTCAAATGGACAAGCTTTAAGAAGATACCAATAACTCCGAATGCCTAAAAATAATAATTATTATTAATTGATGGGTGCCTGATTCCACCACGTCGAGACACATATATCATCCCTGTAGGATTCTAAACGGCTAACTCCAAAAATGCGGTCTTTGTTGTTTTTTTCCCTGAAGTACTGACTGACATCACACAACACATCTTCAAAAATAGCTTTCAGCCAGATTAACCTATCCAAATGGTTGTTACAATCTTGGATTCGAGACAGCTAAAATGTGTATAACAGCCTTGCTTTTTTTAGTTTTTTCCACTCTCCTGTAAGATTGACAGAAACTAAGGTAAGCGTTTATAATCCTGCAGTGACAATATATATGTATTTCCTTGTAGGCGTAGGCGAACAAGATTTTGTAGGGCTATGTTTATTTTGTTTTCAAAAGAGAAAGTTTACGACATGGTAACATGGATAGTTATTTTCTCTCTCTTCTCTCTCTCTCTCTCTTTCTCTCTCTCTTTCTCTGTCTCTCTCTCTTTCTCTGTCTCTCTCCCTTTTTCTCTCTCCCCTCCTACCTCTTCCCTCCCTCCCCCTCCCCCCCCCTCCCCCCATATTGCACCTTGTTTGGGTACAATCAGAGCATTCTGTTAAGTGTAATAACTCTTCAAAGGGCAGGGGGGATTGGAAAGGACATGTTTTAAAAAAACAGCATAAAAAAATTTCAAAGATCAAGCTGCTGAGAGAGTGAAATCTAATATTAAGAATATTGTTATGTGCTATGGCTTTCCCTGGGACTGTGAAGAAAGTTCCTTTTTGTTTGACGCCATATATGTGGTGGTTTGCATGAAAATTAGTTTCCATTAACGGGCTCAGCTTTTCAGATAATAACTTGATTTATCATTTATAGGTGTCTGCAAGTTAGACATTTTTTTCCTTATGATTTAAAAGGAATAAAGAAAAAAATTGTCTAAGACAGCCATCCATTGTCATGAGAAAAGTGGTTGTTTTTGGCAAGGACTATGGTTGTTAGATAGGAAAGAAGGAGCAAACCACACCAGAGCACTCACCAACCCCCAACCAAAGGGGGAAGTGGGAAGTGTCTTGGGCAGATGGCTGTCAGAGCAGGTTCGACTCTATTTTAAATGGTATTAGAATAAAATCCTCAGAAATTAAGATTTTAACAGTGTTCACACTTACAGGAGTAACGAAGCCAAGTAAGACAAAATTTCTAAGTCCAGCAGGTCGGGGCTACTCTGGATACATTTCGCCGAGCAATTGGCCTCCCTCCCCAAGTGATATTTCATTCTCGCCGTGTGAAATTATTACACGGGAAGCTTGCTGAAATTTTCAAACATGCTTAAAATTTTTGCAGAGCGAAAAATGAATTGCCGAGTCAATAACTCGCTCGGGGAAAACTCGGGGAGTGTCAGAAATAGCTCGGCGTGCAAAGTTGCATACGTTGCCAAGTGACAGTGACACTCCGACGAGATCTGAATGGTGGCCGAGTTAAATTATTGCTCGCCGTGTAAAAATCTTGCACTGGGAGTCTGAGTTACTGAAGCATTAATTGCAAAAGTTGACACAACTATTTCCTGTTGCCAGGTATCGAGGAGTGACAGCCAGCTTGATATTAGGTTCCAGTGACTGCCTCTCAAACTGTCTTTAGTTCTTATGAGCCATTGTCTAACCCAACAGGTCCTCCCCCTCCTCCTCTTCTCCTCTTCTTCCTCTTCCTTCTCTTCTCCTCTTCTTGCACCAGCACAACAGCAAGGGCACCATTATTATGTATACATGAAGTATCCATCATCAGTGTCATATGACCCATGTTAAAGGAATGAGCACAAACATTTTGCCCTCCACCCCCTTTATCTATAATCTATTTGTGGTGGCGGAATTTTGCTATTCAAAAGGCTTTTGAATGGCTGCATCGATCGACATGCGGTTTTTGCCAAAAGATTCTTTAAAATATTCTCCAGATCATGACGCCCTTTGTTTTTTCAGTTTTGAGACAGTTTTGCTGCAAAAAGCTAAATTTCTTTATTTCGCCAATCGCTTTTGTAGGCCGACGCTTCTGTCTCTGTAATTTAAAAAAATCTGCCAGGTTTGGGTATTTCAAGTTGTACTTCCTTTCGATACTATCGCGCATTGTCACGCAATACTGAGCTCTATTTTAAGTGTGCAACCTGAATAGATCTAGCCTCATGTTTTCTATTTTTACTTGGTTCTGAATTCGACTGTGATCCTTTCGTTTGATGTTCGCGAGGCGTAATTTGTTTTGAAAGTAAAAATCTAGACGTTCTAATTTTTTGTATCTCTCAAGAATTATTGCTCCATTCCAGTAGAGTGTAGATTCTAAATATAGTAGGCCAATGACTTTCAGATGATGTTAATGCACCGATCAGTCCTTTCATCGAAAGGGGGCCCAGCTAGTATATTATCATTGCACTCTGGCTAACTCAGCGACAGCATGGTCAGCATGGTCGGTGAGTTTGTCGGTGTGTGAAATTCTACTTGGCCGCTGCGTTTCTTGGCTCTGCAAGTGGCCATGATTCAAACTAATTGCTCGGCGAGATGCTCGCCATCCTAAATTAATGTTCGATTAAATAATGTCAACGGTCATGGCCAGATGCTCGTCCCGATTAAACCCGAATTTGGCATTATCTTTTCGGGAATTGCTCTTCGACTCTACCTATGTATGTGTGAAAACTGCATTACTTGTGTTTTACGTGTTTGAGGAAGTTGTACTGTTGTAGTTCTGTTTTTAATGATATCTCATCAATATATGTGTGGGTGCCTAAAGAAAGGTACAAAAAGTCGGCACAGAGGATTTTGAGCTACAAGGCTGATAATGACAAAAATCACTTTTTTGACCAAAATGTGTTTCCATTAAAAAAATGAGTTACACCATTTTTTAACAATGTGTTAAAAGGGTTTTCATTGATTTGACTTCTAAATGTTATTCTATTTTGAATAATTTTGAGACTAGGGTATTTTTTAAATATATAAAGAAAACTGCTTTTAGAAGGTGTTAAAATCTATTCTTGAAGCATGTTTTCTCTTCCCCGCTATGTTTTACCATTGAATTCTAATCATGATATATTGATGTAAAATGAATGCCAAATTGGAAATGAATTTTGCGTTTTAAAAAAATACATTAGAAACAATTGAATCATTGGGTTTTTTTTCAAGTTTATAAGTCTCCTAAACTTAAAAGCTGATTTTCTCAAAATTAGATCTTTATACCCTACCTCACAAAATGTTCAATATCTCAAAAACTGCTTGAGATATCTAAAAAATCCAAATACTACTGTGTTCAGCATTGAATTTTCTATAAGGTGCAAACCTTAACTCAACATGGTCAAAATCCGACTTTTTGTACCTTTCTTTAGGCACACACACACATACAATGTATATCAATGGAATACACAGATTTCTGAGAGCCATACTCCTATTCGCCTGTCATAGGGCTGTGTCTGACGGAAAGTCAGTGTACATTTTCAGTGCTGCAAGATATCTGCTGGAATTTGTCTTCACTTAACAAAATGGTCTGCACTGGTGAAACTCTGCATTTGAGACTTTTTCCAGCTCTTTGCAGTGGATGGATAATGGGTGGCGTAAGTTTGTGATGATACCCAAGTGTTCTTTTTCTCAAAACTTTTTGTTTTATTCTTCTCAAGGTACTACAAGTTCCTCAAATTGGTGCCCATATTTCAGGTAATTTGTACCCAACTTTGTTCTTGTTAGGTAAAGAATATTGGTGTGATTATTTGGAATTCTTGAAATCTTAATAATATTATTAGATCTTTATAATTAATAATATAACATTGTTTCCTTTTGTTACTTTTATTTTCTTTGAGGAAGGTAAGAGGGGTGGAAGAGATTGAAAAAAAAAAGTGCGGGGGTGGAGGTTGTCTTGCCTGGGTGAATAATTTACATGGTTTACTTATTGGCTGAGGTTGTGTTTTACACTCCTGACTGATTAATGTCTCTATGTTTCAAGCAGTTTTAAATTACCACCCAGTAACTTCCTTAAACCCTGTCAGTACTACAAGGTCAATAATATGAAATGACGTAAACATTTAGTGTTGTTGAATTCAAAAGATTCTAGTGTAGGTGGTTGGTGAGTGCTCTGGTCTGGTTTCCTCCTTCTTTACTGTCTAACATCTGTAGTTCTTATCTCTCTCCTCCTTTTTTGTGTCTGTTACTCTCTTGAAACACCTCTAAACTTCAGCACTTGTATGAACTTATTGTGTTTCAAGTGTCTTTAAACTCTTACTAAAATTTTATAACCCCGAAAGATACTGACATACTATTGTTTTTTGGGGTTTTTTTTCCCTTTTTTTGTCGTAAGGCAAGAGCGCTGGGCTTGTGATTATATTTTATGTTCCTTGAGAGTTAGCCTTTTGGACATGGTGCATTCACACTCGTTTCTTGATGATGTACATTTTTTAAGATCTTATTTCTTTCTCTCCCTGTATTGTTTCTGGCTGCCTACCTTGTTTTTCTTTTTTAGCTCTAAATGACTACATTCCTGTTAATGTTCTAATTTTTAACTCGAATATATTGTTTTGCAGTATTCAAATGTTTATTGTGTGACCCGGCAAATCAACAAGTTGATGGAACACACACACCTGCAGCAAGAGTGCCTTAAGTTTGTCGCCAAGTCGGGTAAGATTTCTTTCTCTATTACGATATTTTTAGTCAGCAGGTTGTTAGAAGGAAAAAGTCCCTGCTAGTCAATAGCCCACTGTGTTGGATTTCTGTGTTGTATTGAATTGTCCTTAATACATTTATGGTTTTATGCTACAGTCGAAAGGATTGGTCAGAGGTTTTTGTTTTCAGTTGTTCCTTTGGTTGGCCTATTTTGTGATTGATGGGCATTTTGTTGATGGAATTTATTTTGGATCATGATTCTGACCAGAAACAGGTACTCTCACAGACACCAAGTCATTATTCACTTCTGCCCTGTGGGCCGAAAAGTTTTTGTGAATATAACGAACGGGAGGATATTATTATTACAGAGAGATGTCTTTTAACAGTTTTGTAAACATTTTTAAGGGTTAACTATTTGAAACAGGCTGGTCATTTTGGTGTCATTTCTGATTTTGTGTTTTACTGGCTCACCACATAAGTGATGTTTTTGGAGTACCAATTTTGTCAACCCCAAGATCTACACCTGATCCTGTGCTACATTTACTTCCTATTTTCATCCGTATTGAGAAGGAAATATTGTCTCAACCCTAGGTAGAAAGACCCAAAACTCTATGGGGGCCTGGAGGACCTGTGGCGAAGAGCAGCCTTTTGCACTAGAGACTGGGATGTCCATTCACAGATGAATGGGAAGAAGACCCATTTATTGTGATCTTTAGTCCAATTACGAATAGCAAGAGTGCTCACACATACAAATCCATCAATATTTGACTGAATAATAGCCCTGTTAAGGCAACGCCCTTCAGTGCTGGGTGTGTAAATTTGTGAAATTCTTTGCTCTCTGAAAAAGTTAAGAAAGTTTTCTTACTCAGAAATTGTTTTAAGTACACTGTGCTTTACCATCAACTCAGTTAACAGAATACGTTCAATTTTTAAAAAACAGCATATAAGGTTTCAAAAAGGCTTTAGTTCTGTAACTATGGCTCATTGAATCCTAAATCAGAAAGCTGATGTGAGGTCATGTGAGCTTTTGGTAAGAAAGGTTAGAAGACTGAACTAGATCTAGCCCTTCTGCCTGTTGTATCAGGAAACAGTTTTGCAAAATGTTTTGTTGCAAACATGTAATCTTGGTTTCATTTACCTTGCAAATTTTGCATTTGACCATGATTATACAATCTTTATTTGTCCTCAAAATTTTTCTCATTTAGTGTTCAAAGTAACAGATTCCAACAAATATACAAACGTAGGAATACATTTGAGTTCACCAAAGCAGAATCTCATATTCGGAAGAGATCTCAAGGGTTTTTCGCAGGGTAAAATCAGTCACGAAACAAAATGATTTGAACTTCTTCCAATAAATATAATGACTTCTACTTCTGCAGAACGTAACCTTCCAGAGTTTAGGGACGTGTTCATGCTCTACTGCCAGTTTACACCCGGCACCACTGTGAAAGACATCTGCACAAGACAGTCAAACCCACATAACCTACGAGTTGATGAAAGGTATTTGAGCTTATGTCTTAGTGACCTTTTTTTTCAAGAGTAACAGCTGTTCTAGCTGATTTTTATTTGAATTTGCTATGTTTTGTTCACAGGTGTAAGGGTATGCCAATAGCTCAGTTGGTATTACGTTGGACTATGGTGTGAGTGGTCCTGGTTTCAACCCCCCCCCCCCCCCCGACGCAGCGTTCTTGTACTTGAATTGTTTGGGGAGGTTTCTAGGCTCTCCACTCACTTGACTTAGTTTAATCTGTGATGAAGGTTGTAATTTGGAAGTTTCTCTTCTTGTTGTACAATGCTGACAGAGACTTTCCTGTCACCGCCGGTACCAAAACATGGCCTTAGGGAGGTGGGAAAGAAAAAAGTTTTGAATGTCTCCCTGTCTCTATCTCTAACTTGTTTCTTTTTTCCCCCTCAGTTTGAGGTTTAGATGCTGTTTTTTTGTCTAATGCAAGTAGCTTTTGTATCTCTGATACTAGATGAGTGTCGACTACACTGGAACTCGGATTCAATGAGGTCGCCGGGCCTGGCCTAAAATCTCGTTGAATCCGAGTGTTCGTTATAGCAAACATGAGGTTTTGTGTAGATAATTACAGGCACTGAGCAAGTAATGTATAAAGAGAAGTCACAAGTAGTGCCTGAAATGCCTGCATTATATTATGAGCTGTGCAAAAAATTTAAAAAAGACCGATTCGTTCAATTGCACCCACCTGTGTCTTCTCGATTGTTTACCAAAAAGTTGTGTTGCTTTGAAGAGCCTAGCATACGGCAACTTTTGATTCCATAGACCAGCGCACAATTCATTACGTAGATCTATGTCAAGACTAGGCCAACTAATCATTGTAATAATGATCAGTTGCCGAGGGGAAAAAAAAAGACTGTGACGTGTTTGTATCTGCGACGTTCATCGCTCGGACCGCTAGTGCCCCCCCCCCCCCTCCCCGACACGCACACACAGCCACACGTGTGCAGGCCGCCCATCCGACCCCGACACACACCAGAGTAAACAAGTGCGCGTGCCAACAACGCATGTGTTGGTATGAAAAAGGGCTGCTGGTTGGTCGCATGCAATCGGCTAAGTGTATAATGGTTCACGATGCAGGTGCAATGGATGGTTTCCGGGAAAAGATAAAGTTCGTTGTGGGAGAAAAAAGAGCGAAGCCACATCTGGGGCGGCTGTTCACCCTGAAAGCGACTTTGTTGAGTCCGAGCTCGCTGATTTAAGTGCTCTTTGAATCCGGGTTATTTTTATTGATTTTAAAGAAGAAAAAAAACGGGGAATCTATCTCATCTCGTTGAATCCGAGTTCTCGTTGAATCCGAGCTCGTTGAAACAGAGTTCCACTGCACCTATATGATAAATGTAAAGTGTCAACACTGTTTAGAGTGTGGTCTGATCTAGTACGATCTACTTCCCCATTGCTGCAAGAGGGGAGTTGACATCCTTCATAACAAGAGGTAGATCACCATCGGATTCGTACAGAGTCTATTTTCACTCCTGTAAATGTTTCATCACATGCTATACTGGTGTTTGTCACCACTGTCATACAGCAAGGTGGGATGTAGCCTTTTGAGTGAAAGGGTAAAGAATGTGTTTCAGAAAGGTGTAAAAGAAGTTTCTATTTTTTAACTGAGTGCAAGAGTAGATATTCAATTGGTTTTGAGGTTCCGTGTTTTGGGGATTTTTTGTTTTGTTCATGTGATCATGGAGAAAAATAAGAGGAAATTTTAGTCCTTTGCCAAGCACAAAGTTTCACTCAGTCCAATGATTACAGATGCGAGGTTAGCTATTCTTTTGTGAAGTTCATTATGCTGCATTTATTGAACTGTGAACTTCTGTTGGTGCGGTATGCAGGAAGTTGGTGCAATTTGGAGTAATGAAAGGGTTGATGAGGCGCATGCACCAGTACCCGGTGGTCCTTCCCGGCCAGCCCTCCACCTCCAGGGTGCAGCCTATTCTGAAGTGGCTGGATGGACGATATAACTTTGACCAGATATGTTGTGAAACAGGTACAGTTTATTTCTGAATAGATTACATCATCAGCATCATTCCACCTGGGTCTGAGTCGGTTTTTTTTAAGCTTTGATAATTTTTTCTAGTTTTGAGAAAATTAATGAAAAAGAGAGCACACAAATCAAAACCATGACTTGGGCACTGAACTCTTTTATTTTTTTCTTCTTTGCCTTTGTAAGAAAACTGTTGATTGGCCAAAATGCTCCCATCTCTACACTGAATAGAATTTCTATAGTTATGGAGATATCGTCTAATTCTTCACTAGCAGCGCTCAAGTAATGCAAATAATCAAGTTGTTCGTGTTTCAAGCTAGTGGAACAGGAGAAAGAGACACGAGAACGCATTGACAGTGTATTGTTTGCCTTATTTTATCACACACTGCACATAGGCCTAGTGATTCAAGGATAGCTGTTTCTCACTATAGTAAAGACAAGAGAAATATGCTATAAGAAATCTCTGTTTTGTTTTCATCTTGTGAATGCCTCTTTGTCATCCTTCTGCCTGGCAATGTGAATTTGGTCAGTTATTTTCCCACTCCCCCCCCTCAGGGCAGTGCTACTGATTGAAGTGTCTTGAGGCCATTCCCAAAGGGGGGATATTAACATATTCTTATGCACAGTAGAATTATAAATGGGCTGATTTATCAATGTCATGCTCATAACTGTGCCTGATCTACAACAGGGAACTGCTGCCTTTTCTTTACTAATCCTTACTAATGTTTGTCCCTCTCTTGTGAACTGCTATTTCCTGGGTGCCTTGATAGTCGAAGCAGACTTTGTGCTATTGAGGCTAAAGAGGTGAGCAGAGTAAGCCTGATTCCCCGTTTGGACTTCTCTGTTGACATCCTCCCCTTGGCGCTCATATGACCTTATGCAGTTGCGAGTGCAGTAAAACCCTACTAAAACTAAAAACTTCCCACTCTCTGTCATTTTTTTTCAGAAATCAAAGGGCATAGACTTGCCCAAGTACATGATCAACAGGGTTAAGACTGATGGGATTACACAACTGAAAAATGCTGTTAATGGCTTTAATCTATGTTTTTGGCTTATAATGGTTATGCAAATGAAATGTCTCAAAATTGTAAGCTTAAAATCTTTCAACTTTCATGGTGTGCAAATTTTACCAGCCAGTATGCGCCGATGTGATTCCTTTGAAAACTTTTCGTTCTATTATCTCATTTCAAGCTGTGTTCTCCTCTCATGGCCTTACTGTGTTCACAGGTCTGAGCCATCATGAACTTCAAGAAAAGATTGATGCGGATTCCAGTATCGTAACGTGTTGGAAATGACCTCATACTTCGCTGTGAAGAGAAGAATACTGCTCAGTATTATTTTGGACTTCAGTCGTAGCAGCAACGCTGGTCGCGTCAAGTCTTGCTTCTAATATGTTGCTGTTCCCACTCTCTCTCTATTTCAATAACAAAGTGGAAGAAACAAAAACCAAAGGAGAGAATACCCATCACTTGAAGTCATGACCTGTACTGGTCAGTGTCATGTTTGTGTAGGAGTATAACAGTAAGTCTACTTTGAGAGAACTGGAGACTAAACATAATTGGATCTTATCAAAATGCTGCGGGGTGCAAGTAATAAACAAAGCATGGTATGCTGACCTACCCAGAGACTAGGACGTGGCCAGTTACCCTGAACTTTTCTCATTTTTCTCTATTTTTTTAAAAATGTTGCTTGTCCAGTAAAATTGATATGCTTGGGGGGAGTGCATTTTGTAGAGCTATTGCTAGTTTCTCTTTATCACTGTTTGCCTTGTCATCGAAAATGAAGTAAGCCTCTTAGTGTCTGTTTCCAAACATGGATAGCTTAATGATCTGGTTTGAATACGAGTTTCCATCTCTCTTCGCAATGGTCAATTGATGTGTCTCTACATCTGGTGTTGATAAAAACTTACTACTGGTACCTGTCAAGGAAGTGCTCTTGCAATATATCTTTGTAATGTTTGCTGTTGTGACAGGCACAAATAACTTATACTACAACAATGTGGCAGACACAACTGGCTTTGGGTCTGATCGGATACTTTTATATATAGATGATCAATGTTCCCTTATACTTATTTGAGTACAGATGGTTTTTCAAGAAGAGACATTCAAGTGCAGTCAAACCTCATTATACCGCCACCCATTGGGTAAACATAAAGATGGCGGAACAGCGGGGCTGGTGGGTCAACAGGGTTCCTCTGTCATATAGCCCCGACTACCCAACGTAAAGGAACATGATTCTGCAGTGCAGTCTGTGTTTGAGAAATGTCTTTTTTACGGTGATATACATGTACATGCACATGTATTCAGAGCTTAGAAGAGTCTTCTCTCTCTCCCTCTCTCTCTCTTTTTCTTGTGGGGGAAAGATTATCAAGTAACCAACCAATGGGTGTTGCAGACCTGCCAACTTCTCTGATTTTATCTTTACTGCTCTGATATTTTTATCATTTTGAATGAATCCGATGGAATATGTGAAACTCCTATTTTTTTCCCAAGCCGAGAAAACTCGGCCTAATGGATGTCTCGTCGATTCTGAAAATGGGTCTGGAAAACCCTTAACCTGTCGCCTGCTCACGCTGTTGATCTACAGCACACAACACGTGAACCGAGTAACGCGCCCGCTGTAGATCTACGACACACAGCCCGGAGCGGGGACCGCCCACACTGTTTAATTATGTACGCAGATGGCCTCGGCATCAACAATGCAGACAGTACCACCCATCACCGTGCCGTCCTGTGTGTGAAACTGAAAGGGAGGGGAGAGGGTGGCGAGACAAGGCGAGTGGGGAGTTGATCAGGGCCTGCCTAGGCCTGGGTCGTCTCCCTACCTTCCTTCACCACCTGCACCTGCACACCAGGGCAAGCCTAGTTTCTAAGTTTAGATCCCCGCAACGACCGGTCTTCCCGCTAAACGAGTTGCTCGTTCTGTGGGGCGAGAAGAGAAATCTCGGCCACGGCCGGCCTTCTCGCTGAACGAGCGGCTCGAAAAGAGAAATTGGTCTCGAGACGAGAAGCATTGCTCGAGACACGAGATGGGAAGAATTTCTTGTTCCCGGGACCGGCCTCAGCGAGAAGTAGGTCAGCTTCTTGGTCTTCTCGCTCGGGAAAGAAAAAGCTCTTCCCGCCCGTCTCTACTGGTAGGGGTTGGCAGGTCTAGTGTAGTGCACTGTGTGCAGCGTGTACCCCTGACGGTCAGTTCACTGGTGGTATGGCGGGGCAAATTTACAGAAGTTAAATTAAGGACTGTATAATGTACAACTCGGATTGTTGGCAGTGTGAAGGCGCAAATATGTTTATACAGTACACTGGCAAAACCTGGCGGCGGTAAGCGGGGCTGGCGGTATAATGGGGGTGTGGGGAGAGGGTTACAACGAGGTTTGACTGTATGTTTGCAGTTTTTTAATATAGTTGTCGAGTATGAGTTTAGTATCGAATAGTATTCAGAGAGTACCCTTGTCCCCACCTGGCCTGTCTTGAACAGGAGTTAAAAAGATAGGTCACAACTTGGATATATTAACTAACTCCTGCCACGCATTGTGCCCAAATTGCTTAATCTATCAATGAAATTTCACACTGGCATCTGTGGTGTAGTGGTTGGGTGCTGGTGCTTGGCTGTGGCATGCAGGAAATCTGAGTTTGATTCGCGAGTGGAAAGAAAATTATGGAGTGTCTCGGTCTTTCTGCTGGGATCTTGCATCCCTTTCAGCTCTGCTGTGTAAGCTGACAAAATGCCTTAAAAACAATTTTGGCACCAATTTATTTAATTTGCTACCTGGCAAGCCTGATCAGTTACCGTACTTGTGTGAAAAAATCGAAGTGAAATTGTGACTAGTTTCAGGATAAATTAGAATTACAATTTCAGAGAACGCCTTATTCAGATGGTTACTCTGACAAAAAGCCTCTTTATCTGGAAACTGCTGTGAATAAAAAAGGCTTTTTGTCAGTGTACAGTAGACTTAAGGTTTGGTCCTGACAAGCAGGGTCGGAAGCTCACCTCCTAAATGTGTTAATACGGACAAAAAACCATACCTGCATTAAAAAGAATTCATATTTGAATTTTCACCAGTGTAAAGATGATAAATCAATTTATAAGCTGTTGTCAGATAGATTTGACCTTATATGATTTATTGGAATGTGAAAGGGAAGGGAAATTTGGGGGTAGAGAAAACAAACACAGGAAAGGTCATTCTAAGAACAGCACATCATTCCAGTTGATTGAACTTGATGCAATAGATGACGGTCAGTCATCAATATTGTACATTAAGAATAAAAGGAGATTTAGTTTATATGTACATTTCAATAAAGCTGTAATAATTTGATGTCTATGCAAATTAATGAGAAGCTAATAAATCTTTTCATAATCATGTATGAATTTTGCTATACGTGTTTTAAATGTGTAGGGCCTACATTTGTACACGTGGAATAAATTCAGGACCTGAAAATGTATTCACTATGTGCTTGTTCGCTTTGTGTGTGTTCACTGTGTGCGTTCACTGTGTGCCTGCTATATGTACTGTATTTGTCTTTGTTATTGAGCCGTTTCTCACTTTGGGTGCAGCTGGTGCAGTTCTTGCAAGGATGAAGATTGTCTGCAGTTGTAATTAATTGATTCCTGGAAATGATCCATTTTTGGGTCATTACAGTGGAATCAGGTGCTCATCAAATTTTAGAGAATGGAGAAATGAGTTTCTGACTGGTGGGTGATCTTAAAAAAAAAATCTTTTCATAAAAGAGAAACCTTCTCCATCTCTTACGGAACATTTTCTTAGGGTGAATATTACTGAATGTTGTTTAATGCCAAAAATAAGTTATGGCTATGGTAGAGCAAGTATGACTAAGTATTCAGCTTTAGTTTTAGAAGTCACCAAATTTCGATGACCATTTTCTCGCTGATTTCATTTGTCACAAAACGAAACGCCTGCCTTCTTAAACTGCGCATATCCTGCAAGATAGATCAATATTTGTTTCACCAAGTTCAAGAAAAATAAGCAAGCTTTGATTTGACAGCAATAACTCCATGTGCCCAAAAATTGACAAGTGCCCGATTCCACAACGCTGCTTCACATTCACATTATGTTTTCATTTTCATACAAGATATAAATTGGTCTGGCACCATGATAGTTTAGATTTGTAGGCTGGAGGATGATGGCTTTATACCCTCTATCGAACTGTTCCAACAAGGCTCAGCAAATAGGTTTGTGCCTTTTGGTGCAGTAAAAGATGTAGGTTTGGCAAGATCGACCATGTGGGGGCCATCTGCTTGTGGTATGATTTGAGTTTGAGGATTTTGCAATTTAAAAAAAAGGTAGTGAGGGGCTCTTGTCGTATAGACGTTATGGTGTTTGCCTCTCATTCAATGGTCCTGGGTTTGAATCTGGACAGTGACAGAAAATTTTCTCCTTTCACCTCCTTTCCTGCTCTCTACTAACTATATTTTTTCGTCTGCTTTCGTCTCCACTTTCTGCCCCTCTAAATTGCCCCTCTCCTCTGGGCTCCTGACTCTTTCTGAAGCCTTTCTACTGCTACTCTCGGTTCCTTCGCACTACTGTTTTTCATCTACACCCCTGATCTTATGGTAGGTAAAATCAAACACCTAGTCTTCTCAGATAACAGTGAAAAATCTCGGAGATCGCGTGCGCAACTTGCACACGTTAAAGATCCCTTGGTGGTTCAAAATCAGTAAGAGTAGGCTTCGGCCAAATTCAAAATTTCCTACCAACTGAAAAATGTTTAATGTGTCCTGTGCGCTCATATGACCTTATGCAGTTGCAAGCGCAGTAAAAACACTTGCCAAAAAAAAAAGCATGAATGTTCAGTTTTAGTTTTAGATGTCACCAAATCTGATAACCATTTTCTTGCTGATTTCATTTCTCACAACAGGTAACCCCTGTCTTCTTAAAACTGCATATATTCTGCAAGATAGATCAATATTTTGTTTCTCCAAGTTCAGGAAAAAAAAGCAAGCTTTAATTTGATAGCAATAACTCCATATATGCTCAAAAATTGATGAGTGCCAGATTCCACAACCCTGCAAGACATCATGTTTTCAAACAAGATACGCATTGGTCTGGCACCATGAACGTTTAGATTTGTAGGCTGGAGGCTGACGGCTTTATACCCTGTATTGAACTGTTCCAATAAGGCTCAAGGTACAGGTTTGTGCTTTCTGGTGCAGTAAAAGAATATAAAGATGTAGGTTTGACAAGATCGACCATGTGGGGGCCATCTGCTTAAGTCTTTTCATTTGAGGATTAAAAAAGTAGTAATGGATTTTGATAATTATTATTGTATCTGGAGACCACGACTAGCTTCTCCCTAGTCTTATGCCGTCTACACATAACTTCTGTAAGCTGACTAACACCTTTTTTTTCACTTTTGGCGCCAAATTTTTTTTAATTTGCTAATTCCAGAGCCTGATCAGTTACTTTACTTGTGTGAAAATAGCCAAAGTAAAACTGTGACTAGTTTTTGAATAAATCAGAATTCAAATTTTCGAAAAACACCTTTTTTAAATGGTTATACTGACAAAAAGTCTCTTTACCTTGAAACTGCTGTGAAAAAAATATATATTTTGTCAGCTTACGGCAGAGAAGTTTGCAATTTGGTCTCTGCCCTGCTGTGGATCAAGTCTCCACTGTATGGGCAAAAGACATCATCATCATCAGATCCTTCATGTTGTGGTAATGAAGGGCAATGAGGCTGTCTTCTTCCAAATCACACACTCGAGAATCATCTTATCAGTATCAGGGGTAGACATCTTTTCAAGTGATGTAGGCTGTTGAGCCTTTTTCGTTTTCTATGAATTGTCCCGCCCGACAGCTGTTGTCCTTTCCTTTTGCGAGTCTTTTCGAAGATCGACTCCAGAAAAGAATGAATCCATATATTATTATGTGTGTCACTACTCCGTGGAATCAGGTGCTCATCAAGTTTTGAGCATGTGCAGTTACTGATATCCTAAAACTTGTTCCTTTGTCTTGCTTTCGATTTTAAAAAAACCCAACTATTTATCATGAATACAAAATCGAGATGTTTGCAATTGAAGGAGGTGCGGTTGCCCAGTTTCAGAGGTAAAGCTAGCGAGAAAATGGTCTCCAAAGTTTGGTGAATTCCAACGCTTAAGAGTAACATGGAAACTGAAAATATACATCGTTTGTGCCTTTAATTAATGTTTTTCAGTAAAATCCACAAAAATGTGATTTTAAATTGACATAAACAAAAGTCAAAAGGTGTTGGACCAAAAAACAAAAATAGAATAAAAATTGCCAAACGGGCAGAAAAATGCCAGTTTCTTCAACTTCATTGTTCTGACGAGCACCTGATTTAACCTTGCTGCCTATCTTTTGACAGCGAACACAACAGTTCCCATCACATCCCATTGAATTCCTACCTAAAGAATCCGCAAGGATACCCCACCTGACTGCCCGTTGTGTGACTGCTAGGATGAAACAGTATCACCACACCATCTCTTTTCCTGCCATGCACTTAGCGACCTACATAGCACCTACCTACCTGCCTCCCCAGATATAGGTAATAAATCATGTACTTTATACAGCGACAAAACACAACTGATGAAAACCTGTAAATTCTTTGTCATACCGACAGGCCGAAGGGCTAGGACCCAGATGGCCGCTGGATCGGAAAAGTAAAAAGTAAAGTAACCTTGCTGCCTCACACTCGCATACACACACACACACACACACACACACACACACACACACACACACACACACACACACACACACACATATATAAATAAAAGTAATAACACGTGTTACATGTACCTACTCCTAAGTCTAAGGTAGACAGGTCTTGAGCATGACCCGTTTTCGGGGCATCAAAGATTTTCACAGTACTGCTCAGTGTCAGGTGCCAATATGTCAGAATTCTAGAAAAGCTAGAAATGTATCCCGAGGGATGTTATGTTGAAATAAATTATAACAAAGTTAGTAAATAAAAACAAGATCAGTGATCATATGACAGCAAATATTTTGTTCCCTCAAATGATGAAAGTCGACTGACAAAAATAAAAATTCACTTATACTTATAAATTATGTGAAAATATTCTTTTTTTACCAGCAAAAGGAAAAAAAAGAATGTTGATTGACAACTGCATATGCTTTCAATCATATTTTGTATCATTGTCATGAAAAAGAGAATTAAAAATAGAAAAATTGAATAGCACAAATGTTTGGTAGGCCTAGTTTAATAAAAGCGCCACCTTATATATTCCGTCGCTTCGACTTTTCTTTGGCAAAAGAATAATTCTTTCAAACACGAAATTAAAATATTTACGAAGTATTATAATTTTATACAGATAGTGTCTAAGGGTACTAATCGACCCATTAAAGGAGGGAGCTTATGAAAACTGGTAATACCTGTACATAGCTAACAGCCAATAAGATAACAACATTTTGAATTGTCCCCCCCCCCTCCCCCACCCCCCTTCCATTTTAAAAAAGTATTGGGCCCACTCTTTTTTTTCATCCGCGTCGTTTTATGCAAGAAAAATTCTGAAATTATAATGCAAAATGAGCCCAAAAATGTGAAATTATTCGATTCTGTTAATTTAATTTTTGGACATTTTCAAAAGTTATATCAGCATGTGTGTTAAGATTTTGTGAATTATTTGATATAAAATTTTCCTGAAAGGATGAAAATTACCAGAGTTATTTCAACTTTTCTGTGTTGGTGGACAAGTGGAGTCAGTGTAGGTTTTCTTGTTTTACTCATTTTTAGGGCAGGTCTCTTTGTTAAAATGTCCAACGAATTTGTTTTGACAAGCGAACACTTCTTTTCAAATGGCCTCCCCCCAGCCTGTGGTGAGGGTGGCTCTAACACAGACAGTGTATTCACTGAAGAGGACAATAGAATTACATACCCTCCAGACACACTGTTGTCATTTCGACCCCAGGACCATGTTTTCATACCTCCAAGTGTTATGAGGAGACTTAGAAAAAACAACTTAAATCGTATACCAAAAACTAAAAGGTCAAAAAGGGGAGGTAAAAGGAAAACAGAAGTCAAAATATCCCAGAGAAAAGTGAGTTCTTCTTCTTATTCTAATTCCAAGAGCAGAAAAGTGTGTCCCACCAACTTATACAGAATTAATGCAGACAATATTTTCCAGGAACACAGCCAACACATACGGATGGCTTATATGAATGTTCAATCGTGTAGAAACAAAACTGAAGATATTTTCGACATCATCACAGAGAAAAATATTGACATCTTTTTTCTCACCGAAACTTGGTTAACACTATGTGGTGATGAGGTAACACTCGCTAATTAAGTACCCCCAACCTACGTCGTTAAATCTTTTCCACGCCAAGGTCGAAGAGGGGGAGGCATTGCTGCCATATACTGAAGTTCGTTGAGCCTTGAAATAACAACTAGTGCACTTAAGTGTGACCACGTAACGTTTGAAGCTATGAATTTATCTATGGATCTTGGTTCCAAATTTTATAACGTCGTTTGTATTTACCGCCCACCATACAGCAAGATTAACAAGTCAACAGAGTCTGCTTTCTTAAAAGAATTTGCAAAGTTTTTATCGTCATTTTCGGTCAAGAAAGGTTTTCCTGTTGTGCTTGGTGATTTTAATTTCCACTTTGATTCTCCATCGTCACCTGGAGTCAAACATTTGACAGAATTATTCAGACAGCACAACTTGGTTCAGGTCATCACTGAACCCATCCATCGTTCTGGCCACACATTTGACGGAGTCGTCATCAAGAAAGATTCGGACGCTTTTAGAAAAATTTGTGTTGTAGACAAACTATTTTCTGACCATTATTTCATCTTACTTGTGTTGGATGTGACTAAAACCAAGCCTTCAAAACATTCTGTGTCTACAAGGAACATCAAAGGAATTGACATTAATAAGTTTAAAATGGATTTGTTGAAATCTTTAAGTAACTTTAAAACAGTCTGTGTTGATTTGTATAATTCCACTGTTAGGGCAGTTCTTGACAAGCACGCACCACTTGTAACTCGTTGTCTGTCGACTAGACCGTGTGCACCATGGTTTGGGGTTGAGGTGAAAGCGGCCAAAATCGAATGCAGGAAGTAAGAGAGACAATGGCTTAAAACAGGGCTCACCATCCACAAGCACATTTTTAGATTAAAGAAGCAAGAGCTGAAATTTGTAATTTAATGTGCTAAAAAGAAATACTATGTTTCTAAATTGGAAAATTCAAAATCATGTAAACAATTGTTCAGCATTTGTAATGAACTATTAGGGAGGGTCAAAGAGACACGTCTCCCGAATTCTTTTAGCGATCAAGAACTACCCGAAAAGTTTGCTGATTATTTTACAGATAAAGTCCAGAAACTAAGAAACGACCTTGATGACTATGAAACATGTTGTGATTTTGATGTATATGATGGAGTGATTCTTGATAAGTTTAAACCTGTTTCTGAAGAATACATTAAATCTGTAATTCTAAAATCCCCTAGCAAACATTGTGATCTCGACCCTGTCCCTAGTTCTCTGTTGTCTTCCTGCATTGACGAACTGATCCCATTTATTACTAAAATCATAAATAATTATCTAGTGTATGGATCAGTACCAGATTCGTTTAAAATCGCTCTTGTAAAACTTTTGCTAAAGAAGCAAAACTTAGATCAGAATGTCTTAAAGAACTATAGACCTGTTTAAAATCTACCTTTTTTGTCTAAAATCCTTGAAAAGGTTGTCCTCGAGCAGCTTCGTCATCACTTACAAGAAAACAATCTGTTAGAGCCATTCCAGTCTGCCTATCGAGCTAACCACAGCACAGAAACAGCACTTCTTAAAGTCATGAATGACATGCTTACTGATTGTGATTCAGGAAAAGTTGTTTTGCTGAGCCTTTTAGATCTATCAGCAGCTTTTGATACAATTGACCATCACATTTTATTGAAGCGATTGGAAGTGTCTTTTGGATTATCCGGGACTGCCCTTAGCTGGTTTTCTTCTTACCTGTCAAATCGTTACCAATCTGTTTTTATTAAAGGGCTTAAGTCATCAGATCACGCTCTTAAGTATGGGGTCCCCCAGGGCTCAGTCCTTGGTCCAGTTTTGTTCACCATTTATACTCAACCACTTGTCAAGGAAATAGTTAAATATGACTTAAAATACCATTTCTATGCTGATGATACCCAAATTTATGGTTCAACATTGTTTACCAACTTAGATGAACTTGTCCATCGTGCTGAAAATTGTATTGCCTTAGTGAAAAACTGGATGAACAAAAATAAATTGATGTTAAATGATAATAAAACAGAAGTCATTCTGGCAGGCAGTGCAAAGTCTGTTAAAGAGGTTGACCATGATCACATTAAAATTGGTGATGCAAAAATTTTATTTTCAAGAAAAGTTAAGAATCTTGGCATCTATTTTGATTCTAGTTTGTCAATGTCGGCTGAGGTAAATCATCTGATCAGCTGCATGTATTTAGAAATAAGAAAAATTAGTAAAATACGTCATCTGATCAATACCAAGTATACTGCTTTACTAGTAACTAGCTTAATTTTATCAAAACTCAATTATTGTAACTCCTTGTTATCAGGAATATCACTGGTGAAAGTTAAAAGACTTCAAACTGTCCAAAACAATGCAGCACGTTTAGTTTTACGGAAAAGAAAGCGAGACTCTACTAAACCTCTTTTACGAACTTTGCATTGGCTTCCTGTTGAGAAAAGGATTGTGTACAAGTTGGCCACCATATGTCACAAATGTTTGAATGATAATGCACCATCATATTTATCAAATCTGTTAAGACTGTACATTCCAACTCGCAGTTTAAGATCATCAGCTGACAAAAAGAAATTTATTTTACCATCTATGAAACTTAAAACAATGGGTGAAAGGGTATTTGAATACCAAGGCCCCAAGATCTGGAATGCTTTACCAAGTACGTTGAGAGAAATCAAATCTTTTGATTCATTCAAATGTCAGCTGAAGTCGTTTCTGTTTTTAAATTAATAAGATGAATATTTGGAATAATTTTCTTTAGTCAGAACACAACTTTTCATGTTACTGTTGTATGTTGCACTGTATTGTAAAGCGCTCAGAGCCTGTGTACTTTATTCGGGGTTGAGCGCTATATAAATGTCATTTATTATTATTAATTTTAACAAAGAATGATAAAAGGAAAATAATCAGAAATTATGAAAAAATATGATACAATTTTGCTAAATTATGCGGGGAGCATAAAACCTTGGGGACAGCTTTATGGAAGATCTTTTCCACCAGCGTGGTAGTGTAATCAACCAGGAGGGTAAGGTATATTCGTCCACTCTAGCGGGTATTTCAGAACAGACCTACAAAAATAAACAAGGCTTAAAAAATCTACCCCTGTTTCTTCGAGTCAATACTTTTGAAAGACTCACTCTTTAAAAACAAAGCAAGAGACCATTCCCTCATCTTTTTTTCTGAACATTTTATTTTTTCATTCAAATTATACTAAGTTATACAGCACCCCAGGACTCATAATGGGACTATGTGTGTTAATTAAGTAAAGAACGATTAAAAATAAGTTATGTGACTGTGAGAAAAGTGATCATGAAAAAGAATAACAAAGCGAGTCTCACAAACATGGTATACCATTACATTCAGTCTCTGACAGAGTGAATTGCATGTAAAATAAAACTTTGTGCTTATTTCAATCATTTAAAAACATGACAAAACAATAAAATAAAACAAGAAGTCCAAGTAGGCTACATAGATCTAGTTTACCAAAAGAAAAATGTTTACACAAACTTTTAATTAAAAGAGGATGCCAGTTTACTACAACACTTGTGTCACGAAACGGTGGAATCAGGCGCTCATTAATTTATCGGCATATATTATGGAGATACTGGTAGGCCTATTATCCTAAATCTTGTTCATTTGACTTGCATCTGATGAAAAAAAAAATTCCCATCTATCTGGATGAGAAGTTGAGAGATACAGTATTATTCAGTAAAATCCACACACGAATGTGTTTTAAAATGGACATAAAAGGTTTTGAGACAATAAAAAAGAACTGTTGAAAAATTGCCCAAAGGCAAGAAAAATACTCGTACTTGTTTCTTTGATTTCATTACTTTGACAAGCACCTGATTTCACCATGATGTTTCACAATTTATAACACAAGCATTAGGAAAAAACATCTGTGCCACATTTCCACATAAGACTAAGCTTTTGCGAGTAATGTTATCTCTTTCCTGAATGCATCGGACTGCATCGGCATCTAGTTTTTGAAAAACTATGAATTTATCTGAATACATAGCAAAAGCTTTCATAACTCTTTGAGGAAAGATGAGAGTAACCCTTGCAAAGATTTGATACTGACAAATAATACTCCTATCACACACACACACAGACACACACACACACACACACACACACACACACACACATACATCATCTTGGTACAATGGGCTACTTAACTCACTGAGACTGAAGATGACAATGAACAATGGACACAAGAATGCAGTATACAAAAATATACCTATTTATATATCTATTATATATATGTGAGGCGTGCTGACAAAATGAGTTTCTTCTCGCAATCCACAAATGGAGATATTGGCCAAAAATCGACATTAGGGTCAAACTTGTAGGTTTTCAATTGATGCAATGTTCTTTAACTATAACCTGACTTTTATTATTTCATACTTAAAAACTGTAAAAACTTCACCTATAAGCGTGATGTGTCTATTTCCTTGAGGCTTGAATCTGAGAAGTAACTCATTTTGTCAGCACACTTCACATATATCATTAAAATATCTCTGTGTCTTTTTCTCTCTCTCCCTCTCTCTGTCTGTCTCTCTCTTTCCCTCTTACACAAACTACAAACACAAGCAAGTTCACTCAATCACAAACATACACACACACACACACACAAATGCACCCATAAACACACAAAAATACACACTATAAATGTTCTGGCATAGGTAACAAACTTGACAAATAACCAGCTAGTGGTACGACAGGAATGTGCCAGTTTCCTTGTGTTTTTTCATTGGTTGGATTGTTTTGTGGAAACTAGGTCAAAGCATTTGGCGTGTTTTATGAAAGAATGCTGATTTGATGGGCAAAAATATGAGAAACCTTTAGAGAAGAGTTAATTTTGTAGTGAACTGTTCTATCATAGAAGACGCAATCCTAATGACATGGATTTTTTAACATATTTTTGTATTAAGATGGCTTGAGATTCAACTCTTTACTTTATATCATGTTATTAACTGCAAAAATAAGGAGGGATTTCTTAATGCTGTCGTTTAAAAATAACCTCTCCTGGTGTTTTGTAGAAACCGTCCTCTCGCCTGTCATATCCCATCTTACATAAGTGAATGGAGTTTACTGACTGAGTGCCGAAAAGAGTTTTTTTTAAGTTGACGAACAGCCAAGGATTGATGTTTTCCACTTTGGCTTTCCTTGCTTTCATTGATGATACCTGCAGTAAAAACAAAAGTAAAAGCTATCACGTGGTTAGAAACACAAAGCCTTCAAAGAAAATTCTGCATGCATAAAATAGAAATACTACAGTTTGATTTAAAACTGTTCTCATATACGTACAGAAGATTATTAGTAGGCCTACTCTATAATATACATGTTTTAAATTTTAAAAAATATAATGTATATAAGAAAACAATTGGGACTTGAAAATCTGTATGATGCACTCCTGTTTTGCTGAGTGCATGCTTGACTGTATATATCAGTAGGTTACATGTCTACAAAGTGAAGCCACAGGCGCAGTGTCTAAAAAAAGACACAATCTGCATGCAACAATGGACCCTTAAACTTTAACTTTCATGAGGATGTTCATCCATAGACAAGTGTTACCATCCTGTGTGATCTACAGACTTTGCAACAATCAGGCAACTAACTGTACACCCTGAAGAAATGCTGTGCTGTTCATATTAAAGTGAAGAAAATGGAAAATTTATCTGCCAGCAGCCAATTAAACCGCAAATCTCTCATCGCCAGACGTGTTGCTATAAAAAATTAATTGACCCGTTACACTTCATGCAGAGTGCCATAATCCATTCACCTGACATTACTGTTAGCTTGAACCAATCGCTGACAAGCACATTGTAAAGGTGAGTTTTTCGTCCTTCCCAGTGTTTACAGAAGTTAACCAGACAGTAAAATCTTTTAAAATATTGGCCTTGCCTTATAGTAGTCCTAAGCCTAAGACTGCCTCCAGTTGGGACCTCAGAAGGGACTGGTTTGTTTTCCTCATTTTCATCCGTACTGCCTAAGATAACCACCTGTCCAAGACAGCCACTTTTCTCATTAACAGTGGGTGGCCATCTCAGACAGTTTCAACTGTATCAGTATCAGCTACACTTCCCAGCCCTCACACACACACACACACACACACACACACACACACACACACACACACACACACACACACACACACACACACACACATATCTTTCCAAATAACTATACTTCAAAGATTTAACTCTTTCCGGATGTAGCCCAAGTCCACACCCCTAACGGACATATCGCTGATATATCGTCTGTGATAGGGTGCCTTAGTATAGTTTCGTTTTAACACAATCCATCATTTATAATAACTTTATATTGCTATTGAAAAACTCGGAAAGGATTTAGGAAACGAAAACATCAAGTTTCACTTTGTCAAAGTGTAGGTTTGGGGAAAAACGAGAGAATTAGTTCTTGCAGTCTTGCATCAACAAAACGATGTAACCGAACTCAGTATAAATTTCATAATTCAAACAAAAATTGAAATATTGCTTTCAAATAAAAAGCTGGGCATTCAGAAATTTATGGATTATGCTCTTGGCCTGCATATGATAAGATGGCTATACGGATTTGCTTTCACATGATTGGTGAATGTAATTTTTTCCGTCAAAATTTATTTTTCTCATCACCACCGCCATTTCTAACCCTTCTAATGCATACTTATGTTCAAAATTAATCCTTGTTTCATATTGGGATGCATTCCTCATTCAATTTCCTTCAATTTGATATATCATACGTTACATTTTGAGTGATGGTTATGCTTCTATGAAGTTATTTTGTATACCACCTGCATAGCCAAATCGAGCCACAAGTTCATTATATCTAGACCCCCAAAAAACTACATCCGGAAAGAGTTAAAGATATATCATCGGAGATCTGTTGGAACCTCGTTAACTCCATTCTAAAATTTTACACGTGAGACAAAAAAGCTGTCTAACATGGTTAATATTTAAATAATATTAAAGCTTAGGCAATCAAACTCTGTCCACGTATTGTGACGGGCCATAAACTTTTAAAATCCTACAAAGAAGTATGTGTTTTACCCAAGTGCATTATTACACAGTCTGAGTTCGCCACAAAAACATTCATTAGTTAGCGAGGTTCTCCGTCTCAAGTGCTGCTCCCTGTTAGAGGGGTTAGAACAGAACAACACATGGTTATCAGTTGCTCCATTCTAACCTTGCCATCTTTGGGTTGTCTTTAAATTCATATATGTTTAATATGTGAGGCAGCGTGGTGAAATCAGGCGCTCGTCAAAATAAAGAAAGTCAAGAAACTGGCTTTTTTCTGCAGGTTTGGGAATTTTTATTTAATTTTTCGTTTTTGGCTCAACACCTTTCATGCCCATAAAAGAACACATACCTGTGTGTATTTTACTGAAAAACGTTGATTAGCGGCATAAAAGATGTAAGTTTTCAGTTTCCACGGACTCTCCTGCTAGAGAAATAACACAACTTTGGCGGACATTTTTTTGCTAGTTTTACCTCTGAAACCAGGCAATCCCCACCTATTTCAATAGCCAATATCTCGACTGGCATTCAAGGTAAATGGATATTTTTTCATCAAAAGCACGACAAATGGACAGGCTTTAAGTTGATACCAGTAACTCCACATGCCCAAAAATTGACGAGCGCCCGATTCCACCACGTCGTGACACACATGCTCTGGGTCATTTTATGATGTCCCGATGGCCAGCAAGTAAGCTATTATAGATCTATGTTTTGCTTATGTGAAAATTTCTCTATCTGTCTCTCAACACATCAAGGGAAATAAATAAAATAAGTGACCACGTGGAGGAAGGTAGGTAGCTTCACTGACCTGTGGGGGTCAAACAGTGCTTTGATGGTAACTTGCATTACAGAGTACTGAGGTTCAACAGCTCACTTACATCACAGTGGTTGTAGCGAAGTACACACAGAATTTAGGGTGTGTTCTCAAGAATTTGTAGTTTGAATCAGGTATAATATTTACGTACACAATATGTCTCAAGGTATAAGGATTAATCTTTTGGCGAAAAAAGAAAAAATTGTTACTCAAATCTAAGTTACCGTAGCGAGGTACCATCAAAGCATCGACATTGAGCAATTGATATAAACTTTCCAAATTAGTGTCATTTATCAGGTGTATGATTGGGTTTTGCAAACCTTCACACTTGTTGTAAGAAACACTTTAAAAAAAGAAGATAAAAGAAATTCTTGGTAGTGTGTGAACGGCAGTCTCTTCTAGGCTATATAAATAAACATAGTTATTGCCATTTTTACTTACTTTCATAATCGTCATGTGAGGCCTGAAGGCATGCTTTTCCACCACATTCACCCCAGCTTGTTTCATTTTTCTTGTGAAAAACTCGGCAAACTTCCTACCAAAAGAAAAGAAAATACTCATTTATTGTTCAAGCATACTCATCAACACATTCGAACAATAAACCTGATAGCCTACCTGTTCTGATAGAGATAAGTCAACAACAACAAACTAGAATATGAGATGGATAAAGCCGCAAAAGCCAAATGTAAGGGACAGACAAATAAATATTCATGGACATTAGAGAATTCCAACATACGAAAAAAAAAGTTCTCAATCTTAAACCTTTGCCATAATGTGTCCATGTTTGCTAGGGCATGCAAAGAATAAGGGTGTGTGTTTGCTATGAAGGTACAAACACACACACAAAAACAAACATGACGGATTTAGACAATAGCACACAAATGCAAATGTGCATACCCGTAGCACAATCAACAAAAACTCAAATCATATAGGACCCCCACCTTCTTCTAAACAACAAAAAATTATCAAGATCTTCAATAAAAATGTCAATATTACCAAAGTCTTTAACTAACTCAATGACAAACTTGTTTCACTGTTATGAGTCGAGAACGAGGAAGAAGAAGAACTCTCATGAGAATTGAGAATTTGAAAGATGTATGCAAAGGGTAAAAGAAGTCTGCAACCATCATAAACAAAAAGTATGAATAAAAACAAAACAAAAAATTGAAACTGTGTCCTATTCTTGTCATGGTACAGCCCTGGAAATTTTGATTCAAAGCCATCCTAAGAAGACTGAAATAGGCTATTCGACTTGCAACCGCAGCATTGTATCCTTGGGAAAGGCACTTAATATGAATTTTCCTTACTTCACCCAGATGGAAATGGGAGTAGGGCTATAGAGCAAAAAATCTTGTCAGTTTATTAGTATAGTGTTTGAAGACTTAAATTGCAACTTGCACTGTATGCTTTCCAAGAAGCTGAGAATGTCTCTCAGTGTTCTAGGGTCTCCTAGGGTAACAATGAATAGCAATGCAGAGTAAGTGTAAAGTGCATGCATAGAGGTTGCCGTCAAGCGAATGCACTATACAAATGACAAATGCTGTTTATTATCATTATTCTATTAATCAGTTACATAATGTATGACATGAATCTGGTGTAGACTTGCAGCTATTCACTATTGTTTTACTGTAAAGTACTATTATTGAAATGTCTTCTTTTTAAAGTTAATTTTATAATCATTATCTGAAGTGTGAGAAGAAAAGCAGTAACAACTGATATTTAAAAAACAATTGACATAATTTCATAATAACGTTTCTTGAGCATGAGAAGAGAAAAGGGTTAGTAATCATCCAACTTCCCTGAAAAAAACTGTCCTAGCTCAGCTTAAAGTCTTTCTTTCATTCTGTCAAGCAGGGCATAACATTTCACCTCAACAAAATTAAACACAAACATTATGGAAATACGTACAAAAAATCTCTCTCAAACTCGACATCTGCAACCATAACTTTGTCAAAGAATGTAGTAATCCCTTTCAGAGTAAGCTCTGAATGAGGGAGGTTAGCTCTCAGCTCATCCTCAATGCTTGTCAGAGCTTGACTTGCCCTCTCAATGTCATTCTCTGTCTCCAAACACACCTGCACAGCAAAGCAAAACAATTTTTAAAAATTAATTCTAATTATTATTAATTTTACATTTATTTAAAAACACTTCTTGAAGAAATCTTAAATTCAACAAAAAACTTACAGGCACTTGCCTCCTATTATTGTGGTTCTCGTCTTAAAAAATAACCTAAAAAAACTTCAACACAGACACATAACATCTGACACTAAAATAAATATGAATAGTTGAGTCAAAAATCATGTGTGTGTGTGTGCGTTTGATGATCTGAGCATACATGGTTCATAAAATTAGAAACACTCTTAGAAAAAGGAAAAGATAAAGGAGGAATCAGTTAGTGTACATAAGCTAAACAAGAGGCAATCTTTGGAAGAGAAGGAGAGTGTTAAGGAGTTTGAGAGAGAGAGAGAGAGAGAGAGAGAGAGAGAGAGAGAGAGAGAGAGAGAGAAAGAGAGGGATGATTAAGATATGGCTCACCTCACACAGAGTGACATGCAGCATTTCCTTTGTGTAGCAGAAATCTGTGTACTGGGGATCCTTATCCAAGACCCAATCAAGAGCATCTTGAATGGCATCGTGAACAAATGGGTTGGTCACCCGCACACAGTAGAAATAGTTTGCTCGTTTGGAAGTTTCACTCATTGTAGTGTCTATGCCACTTTGAAGTACACAGCTTAGAAATCTAGGAAAAGTACATGAAAAGATGATAAATAAATACAATGACTTTCGAGGACTACTGACATTTAGTGGTCTTTGTATGAGAACAGTTTCATGACAGTGACCCGAAAAACTAAAGTTGCAAAATTATGAACAAAATATAGATCTAGTTGGACACAGATTTATACAATTACACAGAAAACTCAAAATCAAGGATAGCTTGAAAAATTTGCTGTTCTATTGATATCTGATCTTTTTAATTTTTCTTTAAAAATTGGTTAAACTAAACTATGGATGTGTAGAGAAAACATTTATCAATCTTTGACATGAATGAGTTATAATATGCGCCCAATTGTATAGAGGTATAAACATAACCTGAAAGTACTGAAAACAAAATCAAATGTTTCACAATATAATTAAGAAAAATGTATTGGGTGTGTGACAACCCATAGATACAGTCAAATCTCGTTTATACTGCCATCCCCACTTACCGCTTAGGAACTTGCCCAAGTATGAAAAAGGAATGCTTCTGCTATATAAGCATAATTATTTGTGCGTTTACACCACCATCCACCAAATGTCTGAGTTGTATGGCCCTTAAACTAATGTAAATTTGTCCCGTTATACTTACCTGGAATTCAACACAGGAATTTGACAAAGGAGAAGTGTTGAAGACCCTGGAGAAAAAGTTGCGGGATGAAGAAGACAGGGAGACAGCAGAACACCACGCAATCATTAGAATGCGGGAAATGGGGATAGAGAGGGGAAAAGGAAGAAAGGAACGATTTTATCTGGAAAGGAAAGATGTCGCCATAACCAGACAGCCACTGGAACAATCAGTATGGACACCTTGCGGGCTTTGGTGCTGGGGGGAACTGAGCACTTATGGACCTGTCCGGAGTGCAATGACGTTGTTGCCCAGGACAAGTAATACAGGTAATACAATGCAGGAAGTACACTCGGTGGCTGCTTATAATGATCTCTTTCCCAACCTCGGCTCATTTCTAGTACTTTGCCTGTGATTTGCTCCTCATTTGTGCCAAGTATGAAAATGTTAAAATAAATAAATACTTTTAGGCTTTTGCCAAAATGGAAAAAAAAATGGAACAAAATTTTTTAATCACCTAGAGAAACTTCAAAGCAACTGCGGTACCTTAGCCTGCCGGCGAAATAATCGCCAGATATTAGCCCAATGGCCAAAAAGGCTGGCAGGTGCCCGTGAGGCTTTAAAATAATTATTGTGAGAACTAACCCTCTGGTCTACAATAACATACCTTTAGAAGGCGCCCTGAGAACTGACGGGTTGGGTAAAATTGCATGATGGTTTAGTCGAATAATGCCCACTAAGAAACAACTGCAGAAGAGTTGGCAGTTCATAATTATTTGCGCCTCTATTTAGGGCATGACAGAGTTCAAGGTTGAGTGGAACCCCATCTATTCCAGGAAAGATGAAAAAAAACCAACATTGGTCACCACGCTTCCGCAGCTAGCACGTACTTTCTCACAGGTGTACATTCTCCAACACTATATAAAGGCTGCATTTACACATCACTCGGTACTTAAATAGGGAAGCCAGTTGCCTGTATTTATTATTACACCACCTCATCTACTCAAACTGCTTTAATAAGTCTAAGCTGCCCTGCAGGGTTAACCTGCTTATAAAAAAAGTCTTTTAAGCAATTTTGTGCTTTTATTTATGGCAGGGTCAACCACTTCCCTGATGGGAAGTATTAAATAAAAGCAGTCAATTGCAACTGATGAGGTTTCATAATGCATGTAAACTATTCCAAACATAGCCTACCGTCAATTTCAAATCAATAAAGTATAGTCAATCAACACCAGCATGTGGCATGTGTCTGTAACTCTGTTGCCCCGTCTCTAAAGACGCTGAGTACTGAGGCTGAGTGAGTCGGTTGTGGAGTCTACTTACTTGTTGCAGACAATCCTATGTCCCGTAGAATTGCAAGTCCCTGGAACTGAGAACAGCGAGAGCAGCACGTATCGATGATGATGCTCCGATGATGCAGCCTACATTTAACATGTAGACTAGAATCTAGAGATGAAATACAATTGCAATAAATAACGGTAATGATGAAATTGAACGCAAACACAATCTCGTTTGGATCATGACTAACCCGCTATTTTTAGACGTCTAAATCATAATATTATCGTAGTTGTAGTGTAGAGCTATTCGATAAGGCAACTGTGTGAAACAAGAATTTATGATCAAAGAATTGACCGGCTGTTTCGAGAGAGAGAATTTAAAACGATTCACAACTCATCCAAAGATAATGACAGTCAGTTGTTGCACAATATTCACAGTCACAGTGCAAGCAAGCAATCACTTAGTTGTCTTGAGTGAGCGAGTCGTGTGGTAAAGGCAGAGACTCTCTGGTAAAGGGTAAAGGGGAGGTCACACAGTAAACAATAGGTGTTATATGTGAGAGTCATTCCCCCTCCTCCTTAGATCTACTTTTCTTTTCACTTTGGACTTTGGAATGGATCTCTTCATTTTTCCTGCCTCTCCTTCAGTTTTTAATGATTTTTTTTTTCAGATTAAAATTGAGAAGAAAAAAAAAAAGAAAATAGGGATGGATCTAGACTCTATTTGCTGATATATTTGAAACGACTGGCCCTGGTTTGCATCTCTGAGGAGCATAGCATGCCCTTATCGTCGATGACATCGCGAGTGTGCGGGAAATCCCGATGACAAGTTTTCCTTCGATGATAATGATGTAGCTTCGGGTAATCCCGTTTGTATCATACGGTGGCAGATTAACACGATTGCTATGGGTTTTCCTTCTCTGCCTCAGACCTTTGAAACGTTGGACATTGGTGACTGAAGAAATAGACAGTTTTCACCGGAAAAAAACAAACAAACTATATCTAGATCTAGTGAGTATCCAAGCCTAAAGTTGTCTTGTACGTGTTAGCTAAAGATCTAAAACTTTTAGTCTCCAGATTCTATAGGCCTACACGTATATACCATAGTCACTAGATCTATGGATGGTGCTAACATTGTTGACCTTTTCCATCTTTCTTTTTAGACTCGATATTTCTCATGTTCACTTTGAGCTCCCATTCATAAGCACTGTGCATTATTTAGAAATGATGATGGTGATGATGATGATGATGCGGGTGCTGATGTTGTTGTAATTGTTGTTGTTGTTGTTGTTGTTGTTGTTAATTTGTTGTAGTTGTTGTTGTTGTTGTTAAATGTTGATGATATGATGATGATGAGGATGATGATGATGATGATGATGATGATTTTTGTTTTGTTTCCTTAATGGGCCTGAAGGACTTCACGAAGAAATCTTCGAGCGAGAGCGAGGCTCTTTTTCGGCTCCATTGTCAATAGTCAATATGCTTAGCGGCACCTCCACTCGTCCAAATAACTCCATTCGATGTTCGGTATCCTCCTTTTCATGGCCGCATCTTCGGCAACATGGGATGAGCTTTTCATTTACAAAGTTCTTATACCATCTTAAACTCCAATGATGGTCCGACAGCAGTCTCGCTAGCTCAACCTGGTCCCAGCGACATGTGATAGATTTTTGTTCCCGCTTATAGGAGTAGCCTACCCAGAATACACATCTTCCAGGTGCTGATACCTAGTTCTACATGGTGGGTCTCTGATTTCTCTCTTGATTATTGGAAAGACTCCTCTGTATGTCGTTGGTCGTCTGTCTCCTTCGATCTCTCTGGCTTCATTAGCAGCTTGGTCTGCTGCCTCATTTCCTTCTATTCCAACATGGCTTGGAATCCACTGAATTTTTATTGTGGCTCTGGCTTCACTGAACTTGCCGCGCAAATCATTCATGCCCGAGCTGTTGCCCAGCAGCCCCTTGGAGAGGGACTGACTGTCAGTCAAGATCAGTACATTGGTCCTACTGTGGCAATTGTCGGCAATCCATTGTGCAGCAGACATTATTGCCTGGCATTCCTCGTCATAAGATGATGTAAGGAATGCACCTTTAGTTTTAATGTCTGTTCGTGGCGGTTCATCATTTATTATCACTACTGCTGCTGCTCCACCTTCGCGGTATCCTGCGACTGCCGATCCATCGGTGAAAATTGTCACATCCGCACCAACTTCTTTGATCACATCCTCAGCTGCTTCACATGCCTTTGCAGGATCATCACCTTTTCCTTTTACTCCTCTCAGTGCTGTCCGAATTTCGATTTCGCCATGGGTCTCCCATGGACAAGCTCTCACCAGATTGATTGGCCATCGATTCTCTGCTTTAGGGGGGAGGTGGTCTGCTAGATCGGTGCCCATCCGAAACCAACTTTTCCTGCGGTTTTTAGGCTTGACTGCTTGATTAAGGGCTTTCTTTCTAGGATGGTTGGCTGGTAATCTCTTATAGCCATCTCTATAGACTTGAGGCATGTTCTTTTTGTATAGGTGGTGTAGTGCTCAGTTCTGGTCTCATAGCGCAGCGCTTCTGTTGGTGTTGTTTTCAGCTTACCTGATACAAGTCGGAGGGCTTTGTTTAGTATTCTGTCCAGGGGCTTTGCGCTAGTCTCACTCAGCCAAGGCTGCCACGCTGGGGCAGCATAATCCAACTTGCTTTTCACAAACATCTGATATATTTTCTTGAGCGACTCCTTACCCCAGGCCCATTTTGAGTTGCTGAAAGCACCGATAACCTTCATTTTAGAGATTGCACTTTTGGACACCTCCTCAATGTGCTTGTTGAAGGTTAGCTGTCTATCCAGGTAGACGCCCAGCAGACGTGGAGTGGGGTTGAATGGTATCTTTTCCCCTTCGATCTGAATTATTGGTTGCCACGTTGCCTCCTTCACCCATGTTGAGAAGAAGCATACTTCACTCTTGGTTGCTTTCAAGGTAAGCTTCCATTCATTGCTCCATTTCACAACCATATCCACAATCAACTGTGTCGCTTCATTTGCCTTTGCTCTCTTTGCGTGACTGGCCAGTATTATGCAGTCATCAGCGAACATTGAGTAGATCAGCTTGGAGGAGGTTAGTTGTTGTGAGTCAGGGTTTGGGAGGGATTCTGCCAGGTTGTTTATGAAGAATATAAACAGCAGCGGTGATAGTACAGCTCCTTGGGGAAGCCCTTGCTTGAAATTCTGGCTCTTGCTTGTTTCTCCATTCAGGCGAACACGGGCTTGTCTGTTTCTCAGGAAACCATGGATCCATCTGATTGCACGCAACGGAACTCCCTTGTCAGCCATTGACCGTAATAGTCTTTCACGCTAAACCGTATCATATGCCTTGGAGTAGTCCAGCAGGACTAGGACTGATCGATGGAATGTTGGCTTTTGTTGAAAATCATCCTCAATTCCTTGACAGATTCTGATGATCTGGTCCGTGCAGCTATGACCTTGGCGAAAGCCTTCCTGAATATCTGCAATCCATTCATTCTTCTCTGACAGGTAGTAGATTCTTTCAGAGTGCATCCTTTCTATAACTTTCACAACACAGGATGTCAAACTAATGGGTCGAAAGGATGTCATATCACTAGGTGACTTACCAGCTTTCAAGAGAGGAATGATAAGTGCCTTACGCCAGTCTTGTGGGCACGCTGCTTGGTTAAGCGACAGATTACATTTGCTGAGCAATTCTTTCAATGCGAGTGGGCCAAGCTCTTTTAGGAAAGATGGTGGTATATCATCAGGTCCTGGAGCACTTCTTCTCTTCATTTGTGTTATGGCACGCTCCAGCTCTTTCATGATGAAGTATGTTTATGATTGCTGTTCATCTTCGCTGTTCGCATTGTCATACAGTAGGCGCTTCAATCGGAGTTTGTTTCTTCTGCGCTCCTCTTGGGTAAATTGGAGCTTACTGATTTTTGCATAGTGCTGGGCAAAAAGCTCAGCTTTCTTCTTTGCTGATGTTATCCTTTTCCTGTTGTGTTTCAGTACTTCGTTGGGAGAGTTGGTATCTGGTGATCCATTTAGAGACTTGATGAAACTCCAAGTTTTCCTTTCGTCCAGATAATTTATCACGCCATTAACTACCTCCTTCCACTGGTCAGTCTTTGCCTCCTGGACAGCCTCTGTAACATCTTTGCAAGCTTGTAACCATTCCTCCCTGTGTGAGGAGATATTATTTCTTAGCTAGTTTCTTTTCTTGATCAGTCCACGACACTTGGGGGTCATCCAAGAGTGGGATTTCTTGGACGGCTTCACCTTCCTGACATGCGCATAAGCTGCTCAAGACTCAAGACAGTCTCATTACTGATTTTGTAAGCAACACGGGGGCCAATTTGGCAATCAAGGGATGCTATATTCGCTCTTAGCGACCAAACAAAAATATTTTTTAAAAAGATCTTGACCCAGTAATAACAAAGTTTTTCTCTTTGGGCCCTTTCTAAGAAACAATTATTTGGATGCATACACAGCATCACGTCTCCACGTATTACAGGTGAGTCCCGAAAATTACTCACCCCGTCTTTAATTGAATCGTATTTCTAAATCGAACGGTAAAGAGCGGTAACGAACTTCCGTTGTGAAGGAGAGCTACGCAGATTTGTTTCGTCTCTCGGTAGAATAATTACAAAGGCAAAATAAGGACGGGAACTTTTTGTCAAATTTATTTTTCTAAATTCAGGAAATGAATCAATAAAAAACCGGGCTCCGTCATGGGACCTTTCTATCTTTTTGCAGGTTCTTGCCAACTTTCAACTCTATTGCTGTCGTAGTTTTATGGGAAAAGTGACACATGCGTTTCCAAGTTGCCAAATATATAATGGATATCACGCTCATCGTCAATAGCTACATGCACAATTAACAGCAGCTAACTACTATAATTAAGCTTACAGTGAGTGTAAGCCAAATCAGAAAAAGGCCATAATGTTAACCACACAACGCAGGCTGTATAGGCCTACATGTAAAATGAAGAGGAAGGGGGGGGGGGGGCAGAAGTGGAGAGGAAAGCAAATGAAAGCACATGCCAAGAGAAGAGGAACAGCAGGAAGTAAATGGAGAACATTTTACAGAAGAAATTAATCTTTCGTTCCTGTCAGATTTTGAACCCCGAGAGGTAACCACTGCCCACGAGAGCCCCTTATGTAAGTCATTAGAATCTAATGAGTGTGTGACTGAGAAAATGGCCTGGGGAAATGAAGTGAAAAATTGCATAATAAAGCGAGAAAAATTAGACACGTCAAGACCATTTTAGCTCATTTTCACCAACTTCTAAACTGTTTTTGAAAGTATCAAAGATAAATATATTCATTACGCAATCACAGTGAAATGGGTATGGTCTTTGACAATTAATCATCTTGTTTAAGGGACTCTTTTTTCACTTATTGCATGTATGTTTCAAGTGAAACGTGGCACATTATCATTACGGTACATGTACAATTATTATTTTTTATCATTATTATCATTATTGTTGTTGTTAATATGATATGCAGTAAATAAATCATGATATCAATACATGACATCTGTTGACCTCACAAAAGCACATTTTAATACCACCCACTGGCCTCTGGAAAAATTGTGGCCAAATTGGGATGCCCTCCCAAATTCATTAACTTTGTGAGACATTTCCATGACGGCATGCAGGCTAGGACCAAGAGCCCCAGAAAACTACCGCGCCTTTCCACTGTCCCGTCGATCAGCGTGAACCAAGACTGCACTGGCCCCAGTTCTTTTTAGCATCGTGTTCTCTGCAACGTAGCAGGTGGCCTTCAGATTTTTCTCCACCAGACGTGACCATTATGTCCAGAACTGACGGAAAGCTGAAAGCCAAAAATTCTGAAACGATTTTGATAAGCCATCTACCATTTACAGATTAATGATTGTGCTTTATTGTCCCATAACAAGACCACAATGCAATAATATGTGGATTTTTTCTCCAGCACAAGTGACAACTCCGTGCTCTCTCAACAAAAATCGTTCTCCCAGACATCAAAGTGAATGAGAATGATAGCCAACTCAAAGCAGTAGAGAATTACCTATATCTTGGCAGTGTCGTATCTTGAAGAGCCAGTCTTGGTGTTGATCTCGAAGCAAGCTAGCCTCGCATTTGGCAGACTGAGATTTAGAGTATCTAACGTCTGTGGTGCACCTTACGTAAGTATAGTCGAAACTCAGGGTGTATAGCGCAGTCGTATTACTAACCCTTATACGTGTAGAGTGAAGAGCTATAAGTATAATAATATTATAATAGAGCTTACGTGGACCCTGGTTCGAATCCCAGACCGACCGATCTTGAACTTCGGTCGTTTTGTGGAGTTTTCGATGACGGGCTCCAAATTCGGGAATCCCGATTATTAAATAACTTAATAGCGTTGACAGGGGCGTTGAACCAATACAGTTTCTTTTAAACACCAGTCATTGAGATGTTTCTACGAGGGCTTACAGTTTCTTTTAAACACCAGTCATTGAGATGTTTCTACGAGGGCTTACAGTTTCTTTTAAACACCAGTCATTGAGATGTTTCTACGAGGGCTTACAGTTTCTTTTAAACACCAGTCATTGAGATGTTTCTACGAGGGCTTACAGTTTCTTTTAAACACCAGTCATTGAGATGCTTCTACGAGGGCTTACAGTTTCTTTTAAACACCAGTCATTGAGATGTTTCTACGAGGGCTCTCCCTCGGAAAACCGGAATTTGGCTGTAATTTTAAAACTATTCAATATTTTTACATTTTGTAAACGCACACTTGTAAAACAATCATTTAGAAATTTCCCGATTGAGCACTATGAGCATCGCACGAACCAAACGAACACAGCAGTTCTCCAAAGATGGCTACCCCCTTAGAAAATTAATTAGTCAGGGGTAGAAGTGAGGTCTGTCATTCGGTTTCTGACCGCAAAAGGTCTCAAACCTATAGAAATACACACTGAAATAAAGTCAGTTTACAGGGAGAAAGTAATGGCAAAGTCACAGGTATATGAGCGGTGTAGTAAGTTCAAAGCCGCGCATACGGATGTCAATGACAAAGTTCACCTGGACCTTGTTTTTCCCTCCCAGACAGAGGACAACAAGAGTCGCGTAAACAAACTCATGCGAACAGACAGGCACCTAAAAATTCGCGAAATTTCCGAGTTGTTAAACATTTCAAAGTCGACTGTCCATAGGATAGTGTTTGATGAGCTGCACTATCGAAAGGTCTCCGCTCGATGGGTCCCAAAAGAGCTGACAGCTGACCACAAGACACAACGTGTTCAAGTGTCTCAGACTTTGTCGAATTGTTGTCGCCAAGCTGTCAGGGGAGTCATGAACGCACCTGGAGACCTCCAACAATACGATAAAGCATTCCTGAGAAGCATTATTACAGGGGATGAGACTTGGATACTCCACCTGACCCCTGAGACGAAGAGGGATTCAGTGGTTTGGAAGCATACGTCTTCACCTCCCACGAAAAAGTTTAAAGTTCAGCCATCGGTGAAGAAACTCATGGCCACGGTTTTCTGGGATGCTTAGGGTGTTCTACTTCTTGACATTCTGGAACCTGGACAAATTGTTAAAGCTAACAGATACTGCCAGACTCTTGATAAGTTGAGAGAGGTTGTGCGCCGAAAAAGACCAAGCCGGTTGTCCAGCGGGATCATTTTGCAGCATGAGAACGCTGAGCCACACACCACAAACGCTACGAAAGACTGGATCCAAAGGTTCGGCTGGGAAGTTCAGACACGTCCCACTCTCAGTCCTGACTTGGTCCTGTCAGATTATCACCTTTTTGAACCAATGAAACGCCATATGGAAAGCGATTCACCAACGACGAAGACCTCGTGGAAGCCGTGAAAGATTGGTTGAAATCCCTTGATGAAAAATCTTCATGGAGGGTATTCTCTCCCTGATCCAGCTATGGGAAAAATGGGTCCAGCAGGATGGTGATTATTTTGAAAAATAAAGTACATGTTGAGGTATGATGTGTTACATATTTATTATATTAGGACAAAGATTGTTGCTTTTATGGACCTTTTCCGGTTTTCCGTGGGACAGCCCTCGTATGTTTCAGGATTGGGTTCTTATTGAAACTGACTTTAGCTATTTTGCAGTTTTGCATTTGATTATAATCATTATGAATAGGGCCTAATTATATGTTGGCCCCTACATCCTAAATGTTTAAACTGTTGAATTTGTTGATAAAAAGTATTTACTGCCTATTTTATATTAAAATCATTTAGTATTTGGGTCACATTCAACAATACGTTTACTTTCCTCACAACAGTATCTAGAACCAATTGAGGTGATTAACATGCAGCCCGTTTCTGAATCTGAAATTTAAACTGTCATCGGCTTATCTGGTGGGTTTTTTGTTTTGTTTTTGTTGTTTTATTTTCATAATAATAAAAATAATCATAAATAATA